GTAGAGAACATAATTATATATATGTAGTATAATTGTGTTTGCTTGTTGTTTTACACCACACTCAAAACTATCCCAACCATGGTCTGTAAATAATTGAGTCTGGACCAGACAATCCAGTGATCGGCATTATCTGCATCGACCCACGCAATTGGGAACCGATGACATATGTCAACTAAGTCAGCGAGCCTGACCACCCGATCCCGTGAGTCGCCTCTTACGACCTACATGGGTTGCTGAAGACCAATTATAACCTGGACTATCACGTTTATGTACGATACCGACCATATTAAGGCTTGAACAATGAATTACGATCAGATAATGATGCTTGACGGCTTTTGCAAAAAGATGAGCGTATATTGCTCCACCCATCACAAACACATTCAAGGTCAAATCAGTAGTTCACCTGAAAATACACGCGAATATATCCTACATGTCAAACTGAGGAATTGCTTTGGGCATCATCTTTGTCATCAATGAATCATATTTTGATATTTCCGCCTTATGTCTCCCAGAAGGCTTTTTGGACAGCTCTACAGGGGCCTGAAATGCTCACAACATAGATCAAACACTTTCGAGTGTGGGTCGTGAGCAGCTCTTGAAATGTTGGTTAAAAATGCTGGAAAGTAACTTGTGAAATTTGGACAAAAAGGCTGGAACACCTCTGATCCGCAAGATGCTAACTGGAAAGTTGAGTTCATCGTTCATAGGTTTATTATAATGAGATTAGTCATAACGTGCCTTTTCCAGGCTTACATCCTGCGCAAAAGCCACAATCTGATCATTATTACCCCGGATAACCCAAGTTGTCTGTGAGGCGATAATAGGTTAATAGTAGGGCTGGGACGGGTGGGTAACGAGTTGGACCTGGCTACCCGCCTCAATACCCGGACCCGTTATGATCATGTGATTAATAGATTAATCAATGTAATATGATATTCTTTCATGATTAAAAGGTTGTATGTATTTGAAGATTTAGACATAGTTTACAGTCACCTGTTTTGCATATGATACATGGTTAAGATATTTAAAAACTCGAAATTGTAGCCTCCGAACTGAAGAATATATTGTCATTTCTTACCAATTTGATGTCAGGAATTAACATAACGGGTATCCGGGTAGGGTAGGGAATGGGGTACCCGGATAGAAATTTTAAACCTGTCCCAGCTCTTTAGTTAATAGTCTAATGACCTATTTCACCGGAAACCCATTTCTGCTAGGTGAACTGAGGCAAGTTTGAACAAACTCACTTGCCGAAGGTGAAACCACATGTATCACATGTGCTCCTGAGACAAGCTGACCCCACGGTCACCCTTCCCAGACCCAAAGTTGCTCAACTCAACTGATTTGTGACCTGAGCTCTATGCACAGGACTATTTTGACTGTTGTCACTCTGTCAATCTTTCAACAAAAACTATGTCGTTTAGTTAATCTGATTTACCTTCTGGTTTGAGGCAGACGTGACCGTACCCAAATACAGAGTTGTGTGATTATTTGTAAATGTTTTGTGTTTAGTTGAGTTAGAATTAGAACATAATCTGATTTACCTTCTGGTTTGTTCTTCGCGAAGTACTCGCTACCATGTGACGCTGTGGCAGTGTCTGACGCCGTGTAAACTTTGGAGTGACCAATACAAACATCGGTCAAATTGTTGTAGAAAACAGAGTTGCAGTCGGAGTCCTGGACACAAGTCAAGAGGCACAGCGCTGTCGGAAAAACATTGTTGACAGTCCACAGAGACGAATCCGTGATAAGGAAATTAGACAAAACAGACACAGTGTCAAAAAGTCCCATCCGAACATCAGTGGAATTTAGAGCGACTCGTGATACCATGTTTACACATACAAACACATATAGTGCTGGCAGTTTGGAGTTCATTTGGATGAATCCTTCGTTGGTCTGCTGTTCAACGAGGTCGGAAATTCAATGAATCAGGATTGACTGTCAGAGCTGGGTTGTTCTGATATTGATTTACGGAGACCCAATAACATCATTAAATAAAATCCATAGTTGATTGTGCTCGGTCAGTTAAGGCTAGGCAATTAATTTACTGCACAGTAAATAATTGATTTCTAATCACAATTCTTTTGTATGTTGGAGTAGGGTACATAAATACAGCTTGCGGTGAGACTTCAAGGTATGCAAAACATACAAAGTGATCAGGATCTGAATCCTGTGTCATGTCATTTTAAGATTTTAAGGAGCCTTATAAATACAGACCGATCTGAATCTGAATTTTGTGTCATGTCGGATCAAGATTTTAAGGAAACATATGCAAGCACAGGACATTTCTATTATCTACCATCTCCTCTACTGACATCCTCCTTCACACACAAAAGATACTGAAAAGGGAAATGAGTGAGTGAGTTTAGTTTAATGCCACACTCTGCAATATTCCAGCTATATGGCGCTAGTCTGTAAATAATTGAGTCTGGAAAAGACAATCCTGTGATCAACAGCATGAGCATTAATCTACGCAACTGGGATATGATGACATGTGGCAACCAAGTCAGCGAGACAGACCACTAGATCCTGTCAGTCACCTCATAAGATAAGCATGGGTTGCTGAAGACCAGTTCCAAACAGGATCTTCAAGGGTAGACAATCGTGGGTTCCTGAAGACCTTGCTTTTCTTGTTATGCCGATTTCTCAGGTGCTTGAGCCGATGTGTACTACACATACCGCCATGACAGAATGTCTTTGGATGGTGCCTGGGTGGAGTGCCAGAATGACAGCAACGATCTAGCGGCCTTTGACACACCAGACAGTATTTTGGCTTTCAAGATCTTGTTAGTCGCCTCTTACGACAAGCATGGGTTACTGAAGATCAATTCTAACCCAGATCTTCAGGGGTAAATCTGAAATGCGAACCTCCCTCACATAGATCACGTTCACACTGGCCCTTTCATCAGTTGGTGATGTTTGTTATGGAATGTAACTTATCCAAATATGTAAATGACCAAACAAGAAAACTAAAAAAGATAAGAATACTGTAATATTTCTTATCTGTAAATGGGAGCATGTAAGAGTTGATGCAGTTTGCAGGATGAAGGCATGTAAAGGAGTAAGGTCAAGGAAATGACCAGCGGACAAATCTGATGATAGGTGCCAAACAGTCAATATGCTAAACCGCGATATCAAATGGTGGGTATACAATCAAATTTCTGTCTCCAAGTTGAGAAGACCTAAAAATCAAGGAACTAACATGAACATCACTATGCACACTCTTGTCTCTTATCCTTGCAAGAAACACTTCAGATAAATGCCAACAACAACATCGCATATGAAGTCATACAAAAACCAAAAAGATAAATCGTTTTTTTATAAAAAGGTTTATAAGTGAACCATTAAAACGAAACAAACATTGTATTTTCAGCAACAAAACACAACAGCATATTTCCCGAAACTTTTTCACAAGTTAATCTCATTCCTAACCAATCGGTAGTCCAACACAGGAATATATAGTGTCCCAACAGAACCAACACAGGATTCACCACTGTGTGTTGAGAGACACATAACACTCATATCATCTAAATATTGTATCAGCCTGTGTAAATGGGTAATAAATATATTCCACGACAGACAATCATTCTTATCACAAAAAAACATCAAAAACCCCAAACAATACATAAAAACCTGGCTTAAATGTGATTTAAGATCATGGTTAAGCCTGCTTTGACTCTCAACACAATAGTGCCTATTTCTGTAGCATGTCCAAGGAAACATAGGCTGTAAGTGGAGAATTATCAATAAGATTTCTTAATCAAAGATGAGATGTTTGTACTGCGAGGAACTTGATAACCAGGTTATCTGACCCTGTTTGTTATCTGTCACTGTATAGACCCTGTATCGTTGATCTGCTGTACAATGAACTGGCACACTTAAGTAGGGGGGAGGTGGGGTAGCCTAATGGTTAAAGCGTTTGCTCGTCATGCTGAAGACCCTGGTTCAATTCCCCACACGGGTACAATGTGTGAAGCCCAATTCTGGTGTCCCCCGCTGATATTGCGGGAATATTGCTAAAAGAACTCACTCAAAAAGTTATCAACAAGTTACATGACATGTGTCAACCAAGTCAGCAAGCCTGACCACCCGATCTCTTGTTTGTCGCCTCTTACGACAAGCATGGGATACTGAAGAACAATTATAACCTTAACGGGTCACTGGTTCTAGAAACAAATATGTGAGAGTCTAGCTATATTACTGTCCTTAGATATCAGGGTCTTAGTCTAAAATATTTATTGCAAATGAATAAATTAGCGTAGTTATGACATGGCTGAAAACGTGACTGTAAACCATCAACTAACCATGACTGGAGGTGACAGTTCACGGAGAGGAGTAATAATACTCAGGACCTCGACTGTATTTTTATAATTTTTTATATATTCCCTCATATTTGATAGGTTTTAATGCTTTTATGTATCCTGATATATGTCCCATATATGATATATGTAATGATTTCTGATCCATGCCGGTTTTGATATATACATTTGTACATAACAAACAAACAGTAACTGACATTACAAAGAAATATGAAGCTCAATGCTGAAACAATGACTATATGTCCAATTGTAGATAAATCTCAGGTTTTATCAAGTGTCTGGCAAATGAAGATGCATGTTGATTCAAAATTACAAGAATTTGGACTGACTGACTGAGTTTGGTTTTACGCCGCTTTTAGCAATATTCAAGCAACATCGCGGTGGGGGACACCAGAAATGGGCTTCACACTTAGTACCTATGTGGGGATTCGAACCCGGGTCTTCGACGTGACGAGCCAACGCTTTAACCACTAGGCTACCCCGGCGCCCCACAAGAATTTTGAATTTGAACCAAATACACAGAACACTAAACCAACCTCACTTCCTACTGCCCAAAACCAGATTCACAATACGTGACCATGTTAGAGGCAACTTTGCATAAAGTCTTAGAATCCAAGGCCATTTTTTTAAATTGTTGGATCACAGCTACACCAACTCTATTTTCAGTTTTTTTAAATTAAATATTTGAAAAATGATTTATTCTCTTCCATTTATACATGACACGTTACATACTTAATTTTTTTCAAACCCATGATGTTCAATGGTGATGACTTTGCCAAATTGATCTGTTATAGTTGATTCAGTACATCACAGTTATAGCGTCTTGTTTCTTGTCCTCAAATAGAAATTCCAAATATACTCCTTCATTTTTTAAAAGAAGATTTCACATAATTCAAAATAAATCACACCATTGATGAGGCTGAAAACTCTGCTCCAACTGTGAACCTCCCAAACCTGTGATCCAGCGATCCAACTATAGCCCACTTGGATAAGTAACGAACAAATGTTAACTGATACAGCCACCTTAGAAAAGTAGCTGTCATTGAAATACTTTCTGGATAAAAACTGAGGAAGATCAAGCGACATCATCAGCTTCAGAGGACTGTGACTACTGATATCATACTCACAGACAACTAACTCCATTTGGGGAAATATTAAGATCATGGTTCCGACCACAAAAGTGAAATCACTGATGATGTCTAAGGTGGAATAAGAAAAGCTCGAATTAACTTGCTAGGATTTTTTGGGACAGGTGATTTAAGAGAAAACGGCCCTTGTAGGTCTAATCCTATCCCTGACAATACACAACTGTTTATGGAAACATTGTAAATGGTAAAAGGCATCCCTTGATATATTCCTTATATTACAATATTTTGAGGCAATAGCATTCCTGTTTTTGGATTCTCTGGGTTCAGGAATCCAGGTTGACATTGGTCTTCATGGAAACCTTCCTCTTGACTGCTTCCTTGGCCAGTATTCCTCTCTCAGACATGTCCGTCTCCAGGAAGCCCTGCAAGCAGTGGATGACACTGGTAAAATGGTAAAACTATTGTCTTGATTTTATAACTGGTATTTTTAAAGTTATTATTATCTTAATTTCAGGATATTTTTACATTGTATTTCACAAGGCATTCGATGCAATAAAATTATGTCCTATAACAATAACATTATATCCCATTACAATAAAATTATATCCCATTACAATAAAATTATATCAAACTGAAATCCTGTTTCTCTTTTCGAGTTTTTTTATGAGTTAAATATAATAGTATTAACATGAATAGGAAAGTTTTTTATTTTAATTTTGTAACTGACATTTGCTGCAAATTTTGATCTATGTAACTCAATCCTCCTGATCACAACAAGTTCCTATGAAAAGAATGTGTTACTGCGGATGTATTTTATCTACTATAGTCATTTAAGTGATCGTAGTGAATGTGAACCCAAATCCACTTGCTTACCTTCACTGCAGTGCCGACGCCGTTCAGATCTAGGAGGAATGTGTCATGGCCGTACATTGAGTTGAGTTCATAAAAGGTAACGGCGTCATTACCTGGAAAAGATTAGTGCTAACATCAGAATGCCACAACAATTATTTCAAAAGGACACCGACAGTCACAAAAACAACACCTAGAATACCTGTGTCCCAAAGCCTGACGTGCACAACAGACATAACCACACAATCAACATTTGGACTTATTTTCTTAGAATCTAAATCTGTCACTCTCCTATGTCGGAAACATACTATTAGAAAAAAGACAATACGAGTTATCTCCCTGGTCCTTGACTGAAAGTGGGACCAAACCATTCCAACACACAGAGAAACTATGCTTCACTGCTCTGAAGCCCATTCAGGCAAGGTCCTGACATGCAATATTTGCCCTACTAAATACCCAACCCTGCAAGTGCTCCTTAAGTAACACAAGCCTTTATAAGCATCTGAATAAATATGCCTGAAAACTTATCTGAAAATGTAGATTTTCTTATCCATGAAGCAGAAATGCAGGAGTATTGACAAAAGTTCAGTTTCTTGTACAGTTGAACTAAATCTATTCTCTTCAGCTTTATCTCATCGAACAATTTTGAGCTTGTGTATACTATAACAGTGCAAACCTTTGTCAATTTTCTTCAGGGTGCTTGTTATAGTTACTATGGTACTGACATCCTCACTATCCAACCTGCATCCTGTAACACCTGCCTCCCCATCCTACCTGCAGCCTGTAACACCTGGCTTCCCATCTTACCTGCATCCAGTAACACCTGGTTCCCCATCCTCCCTGCATCCTGTAACACCTGGCTCCCAATCCTACCTGCATCCTGTAACCCTGGCTATACCTGCATCCTGTAACACCTGGCATCCTGTACAACCTGCATCCTACAACCCCATCCTGGCTTCCCATCCTACCTGTAACACCTGGCTCTCCTACCTGCAAGCCTGTAACACCTGGCTTCCCCATCCTACCTGCATCCTGTAACACCTGGCTCCCAATCCTACCTACATCCTGTAACACCTGGCTCCCCATCCTACCTGCATCCTGTAACACCTGTGTTACCTGCATTTTGTAACACCTGGCTCCCCTTCATACCTGCAACCTGTAACACCTGGTTCCTGGCTCTACATCCTGTAACACCTGGTTCCCCATCCTACTCTGCAACCCAGCCATACACCTGGCTCCCATCCTACCTGCATCCTGTAACACCTGGCTCCCCATCCTACCTGTCATCCTGTAACACCTGGCTCACCTGGCTCCATCCTACCTGCATTCTGTAACACCTGGCTCCCCATCCTACCTGCATCCTGTAACACCTGGTTCAACATCCTGTAACACCTGGCTCTATGTTACCTGCCCACACACCCTGCATCCTGTAACACCTGGCTCCCATCCTACCTGCAACCAGTAACACCTGGCTCACCTACCTGCATCCTGTAACACCTGGCTCACTATCACCTGCATCCTGTAACACCTGGCTCCCCATCCTACCTGCATCCTGTAACACCTGTCTCCAAATCCTACCTGCATCCTGTAACACCTGGCTCCCCATCCATCCTGTAACCCTGGCTCCACCATGTTACCCTGCCATCCACCTGTAACACTGCTCCCCATCCTACCTGCATCCTGTGTGGCTTAACACCTCCCTCCCCATCCTACCTGTGTCAATCCTGTAAACACCTGGCTCCCCATCCTACCTGCATCCTGTAACACCTGGCTCACTATCCTACCTGCATCCTGCTAACACCTGGCTCCCCATCCTACCTGCATCCTGTAACACCTGGCTCCCCATCCTACCTGCATCCTGTAACACCTGGCTCCCCATCCTACCTGCATCCTGTAACACCTGGCTCCCCATCCTACCTGCATCCTGTAACACCTGGCTCCCTATCCTACCTGCATCCTGTAACACCTGGCTCCCTATCCTACCTGCATCCTGTAACACCTGGCTCCCCATCCTACCTACATCCTGTAATGGCCTGTAACACCTGGCTCCCCATCCTACCTGCATCCTGTAACACCTGGCTCCCCATCCTACCTGCATCCTGTAACACCTGGCTCCCCATCCTACCTGCATCCTGTAACACCTGGCTCCCCATCCTACCTGCATCCTGTAACACCTGGCTCCCAATCCTACCTGCATCCTGTAACACCTGGCTCCCCATCCTACCTGCATCCTGTAACACCTGGCTGCCCATCCTACCTGCATCCTGTAACACCTGGCTCCCCATGTTACCTGCAACCTGTAACACCTGGCTCCCCATGTTACCTGCATCTTGTTACACCTGGCTCCCCATCCTACCTGCATCCTGTTACACCTGGCTCCCCATCCTACCTGCATCTTGTAACACCTGGCTCCCCATCCTACCTGCATCCTGTTACACCTGGCTCCCCATCCTACCTGCATCCTGTAACACCTGGCTCACTATCCTACCTGCATCCTGTAACACCTGGCTGCCCATCCTACCTGCATCCTGTAACACCTGGCTCCCCATCCTACCTGCATCCTGTAACACCTGGCTCCCTATCCTACCTGCATCCTGCAACACCTGGGCCAGTTTGCGCTGTTGACATATGGGATACAAGATGTCCGTCTGGATGCCAATGACCATCGCTGGACAGGTCACTTGAGATAGCCCCACCTCTAATGAATCAAAGCCCTCAGATACATCAAACAGATCCATTGCCTGAAATGAACCATACATTTGTAACTTGATATCAGTTTGATTGGCAGGGCTCCAGATAATTTTTCAACATCAGGAGTACCTACTCTTCATTTTCTCAATATAGGAGTACTGGAAAACCTTAAGTGTACATTTAGAGTACTGAATGGAATTTAATGGAGTATCAGTATTCTTGTGTTTCGTTACATATATGCACCACAACATTGTGTAAACAGGTCAATAAAAAATAAAACAATACTTTTTTCAGATAAATACGTCTGTAAATGATTCTAAGACCGTACACCATTGCTGTGGTGCGTATCTGCTACGTTTTCTAAATTATTTCCTACCGTATCGTGCATAATTTTTATCCGTACATACGCCGATACGGCCCTTTTTGGAGCCCTGGATTGGTATCTATATATATACCGAAGAAATTAAAAAGCAGCTTGTTACAATGATTACTCCCACTGAACACAGCAATGAAGACTCTGAGTGAGTGAGTGAGTGAGTGAGTCCGTCCTTTTAGCAATATCACTGCGGCGGCAGACACTGGAAATGGGCTTGTACCCATGTGGGGAATCGAACCCGGGTCTTCATCATAATCACCTAGCTCCATCTCCCCTGAATATTCCAGGACCACCAAAGAGGAGCCATTATCCACCAATACACCCCTATTACACAGTTCACACTATAAACCACTGCTATTCTTCATTTCCTAAACAGGCTCAAACTGTATCCCCTACAAACAAGTACCAACCTTTGACATATACAGGAGAGAATTAGGGTCGAACTTGTTGCTGAAGGTTTCTCCTTGATACTCCAGGTAGCTTTCTATGTGGAACGTGGGGCACAGAGACGGGGGATCTCTGTCGTTGATACGACCACGCCCAAACCTCTGGTCCCACTCGGGACCACTGCGATAGGTCAAGGTGGCAATTTCCCTGGCAAAATAACACACCACAAAGTTAAACTATTGCAAGATCTATGTTACTGAATCATCAAATTTTGAATCAGGTATCAGTGTTGCGATACATATTACGATATATCGGTTGCTAAAGTGTTTGACAGAGATCATCACTGATTGGTTACTCCACATACTGAAGTAAATATTATGATATCAAAGTATGCATTTCAGTTTTGAAGAGAAACATCATTTAAGAATAATTTCCATGTAAATTATACTTGAAAAAGTCTTTGCAAGGCTCATTGCAGTATACCTGTAATAGGATCTGAGTAAGCACATGATTTTGACGTCATTCTCGCCACTATTGTAAATTATTTTTAAAAAACCCAGCTTTCTAATTGTCATGGCTATTGCTCACCTGGCCAGTTTCATTCCGATTTTGGGGAAATCTCCGTCGTAGTAGTGGCCTTTGTTCCAGTTGTGGTCAGTCATGATGCACTTTCGCTGGAGGTAGCTGAGCGCGATGGCCGAAGGTTGGGACTGAGCACAGGACGATATCGAAATCAACCTGACCAACATACAATCATGGCTGGTAAACATTCTGGCTTTCTACATGTGCACTTTGGTTAAAACATGACATTAAATAAAATATTTAAACATTAAAAATATATTTAATCTTGTCCTTTTATAAGATGAAATAATTTATCAGATTAAACAGGAAATATTGTTATCCTTGAAACTTGGCATTTGCTTGCTCAGAAAGATATTGTCACTGTTGACCTTAGCAGTTATTTTCCAGATAGTAAGATAAACTTTAGCTATAGATACTATGAATTTAAAACAAGTAAAGGACATTTTTTTGTAACTGTCAACAACCAAAGTTCAGTCATTCTCAAAGAAACTTGCCCCATGTTTTATTATCTGACCTTAGGTCCTTAGAACCTTTTTTGTTTGTTTGTTAATTAACACTCTGCTCAGCAATCTTTAGCTAAATGATGGTGATCTATAAATAACTTAGTTTGAACCAGACAATCCTGTGAGCATCTGTCTTTGCAACCAGGATATGATGACATGATTTAGCCAAGTCTGTGAGACTGACTATCCGATCCGTTAATCGCCTCAGGCATGGCTGGCCACAGACCTATCTAACCGACTTAAGCTGACCTTGACCTTGGCAGGATAGACGTCAAACTGGCTGGTAGGAGCAAAGGATTGGGTGGTTGGGAGGTGTGGGCACTTTCACAAACAAAATTAAACTGAACCTATTTCAAGTATGAGAGCTGGACATTAATATTTGTGTTTGGGTGATTCTGGTTCATTGCTATTAAGGATACTGGACTCCACTCAGTGCATTCAAACTTGGGAAGGATACACGATGAATCTTACTAGATTCTACTGACCTTCCCACTCTCTCTGGATACAAGACGGTATTGAGGAGAGAACACATCCCGCCAAGGGAAGAGCCCATAGAGGCGTGCAACTGAAGCAGGGAGGCAGAATATCGGTAAAATACATCTTGGTGTAAGAAATCTTGGGACAACAATTTCTTAATGAAAAACAAAACTTGTACTTTTGGGTTGTTCATCTTTGACCCACATTCTCAGCACAAAGTTTGTGATCTAGGCTATAAGTTTACAGACTTGAATTTGTGTAGCTGAGAGGGTTTCATTGTTGACCTCAAGGGCTGATGCCACAATCTGAGTGTGGTTTACCTCGTTGGATTCAACCCCAAAAGCACTAGAATCTGTATTATCTCAAATATTCTATTTGATATCTTTCTAGACGGCATTGTATATTCACAGCACCAAACAGTAAAGGAAAAACAAAATGCTAATACTTGTAAGAAGATGTAAAGTATACTGAAAAGCAATAAAAACTCACCTTCTGGATGCCAAGATGGTCCATTAGAAGCATCTGAGCGTTGACCATATCCTCTACGCTGACAATGGGGAATGTTGTTCCGTACGGCTGCAAAGACAAAGCTGGCCATTATGAATGTGTAGAAATAATGCAAATAAACTACATTAATCAATTTGATACTGACATTATGTCAGTACATAACCTGATTAAATTAGTCCCAATATCCATTAGCTAAATCCTTACTGGTACTGCATCAACATTCTTCCAAATATTCTGTTACCGTTTCCATGGTAACTATGATAGATGTGGCAAGTTTGACCCATAAGAACCAGTTCAATCACAAAAACTATTTTCTGAAATATCAGCAGTCTTCTCGCCTGAAGAGGTTGTACAAGCAATGCCCAATTATCTTCTTTAGGAAACTGTCTAGTTTGAGAATCCAGAATATCACTAAATTGCCATGAGTAATGAGTTACAGTAAATTCCTACTGACTCTTGAAATCTGTTAGGAATATCCACAGGTCATTATTTATGAAACTTGTTCACCAAATTTAAATTATGTGTGGTCATAAAGTATGTGATGTGGGGAGGAGTGGTAAAATATGAAACAGCCCTGAGACAAATCCCACTACTGTTTCCCACAATAAATGACCAGTCCCTCAGTCCCTTCAGAAGACTTGACACTAGATATCACTTGCCTTGTCCGTGACTGGATTCACTGATGATGGGCCCCTGCAATGGAAAATCCAATACATATATACCATGTTTTGTTACAGATGTAATTTGAAAAGACTAAACAAATAGACATTATTAGGGACCGTTCATAATTTATGGCTAGGAGGGTTATGATGATTTTAAAGGGGGGGGCATCAATTTGTACACATGTACTAGGGGAGGTCGTCAATTTTGTACATAAAAATATTTTTAAAATATGCTAAAAAATTATGGAAAGGGGGAGAGGGGGTCATTGACTTTGTACATAACATGAAGGGAGGGGTCACTTACTTCGTACATAAATTTCATCATGGGCGGGGTGAAACCAGTTTTGATTTTGACATTTATCTATGTTCCTGATCAGTACTGGTACCTATAGAGGATGTAAGCTCATGAAAGATACTCACGAAGTGCCATAGCAACCTCCAAGATTGTTGGTGCAGATGACGAAGAACTTGTTGGTGTCCACAGCACATCCTGGCCCCACGAACTTCTCCCACCATCCCGGTCGGACATTTTCCTAGAACAAAGTCCACCATCAAACGAGGTCATCTACGTCACAGTGAGTAGTTAGGTGAGCTTAGTTTTACGCCACTTCTGGGGGACACTGGCAATTGGCAACAAACATTGTACCAATTTGGGAATCAAACCCAGGCGGGCCTTCAGTGCGACGAGTGAACGCTTTAACCACTAGGCTACCCCACTGCCCCCAAATGTCACCGACTGTACAGAAACACATATCTATTCCAAAGAGAAAGATAAAATGTAATTCCAGTTTTGAGTTGGTTATTCTCAACCTTATCAATAATCAAATTAACTGCAAATGTGTCTAGGAGCCATCTGTAAGGGCAGCATTTTTTTGTGTTTCTCATTGCCCGACCGACCTTTCTAATTTTATTACCGACCCCCTGAAAAAAACTCTTTTTTCATTCTAACACCACCAACTCCTACCTAAAACATACCACCTCGTCATATAAAATGCTTATCTATCTAAAATGTTTTAATCAGTCGCTACCACAAGTCCAAAGAACGCGAGAAATTGTAATAATCTCACGACCGACAGACCCATATTTAGAATTTGGTGGCAACGTGAAACACATTAAAAAAAGAAATGCCCTAACCAACATTAAAAAATACTGTAACCACAAAACCCCACAATAAATGTATCCCAGAGAAACAGTTAACAAGCTACCTTTTCAACAGCACATCAGATCACGTAAAATAGGCTGCATTTACCATTCACATTTAGTATACAGCAAATTACAATTTTAACAAGCTCAAAAAGAAACACGTATTTTAGTTCTTTTAAATCGTAGTTCGTTACACGCATTTCAACTAAAATATACAACAGGTAGACCAAAAAACAGTCAATTATATCTGGTCTAGAAGCCAGACCCCCAAAATGGTGAAAATGTGGTGCAGTTCTGGCGACAAAACGGGATGTGATTTTTCACAATCAGGAATGATTTAGGTTTGATTTGAAGCCGGTTGTCATCAGCTACCGTGCGTGACTAACGTGCAAGGGCCCTTTTAAGGTGCAACATGTCATGTCAGTTATGGCAATATTTTAACCGAATACTGGATGGTTTATTTTAATAACTCTGGTTTGGTTTGACCGATTTTCATAAAAAAAATATTTTTGGAATGCTCAGACCATGATTTAAAGTCATGGACAATAATATTACATATATGCTCATTGCAAAAATATTTTGGTAAGGTTAAAGGTCAATTTTAATAGAAAGGGCATTTGATGAGAAAATATGAGTTGAACTTTACAAATTTTACGGTAATTTTTTTCAAAATTATGTTTTTCTGATTCAGATATATCATTTGAAGATCACATATACCTTTGGTTGGCATTGTATTCATGAAAAACCATAACAAGGAAACAAAGGTTGCTACTTTGTATTTAGATCAGCAAAATATAAGATAATTTCATCTCCATGCTTTACAAAGTATCAACAATACTATATATGTCAAAGATACTGTTGAACTGTCATACATATTTGTGTTTATTGACATTCTGGCAGAAACAACAATTCAGCTGATGTCAGAAGGAGATATATTTTGATAAGTGTCAGTATTGCACTGACATGCTGTGAAACCCTTAAAAATGATGGATAATAATATGACATCCTAATGAAACATTGCCTTTATATCAATTCGTATTTATTGTTCTTAATATTCGTAGCGTATTCCCAGCTGACATGTTAGTTAATGTCAACATTGTCAAGTTCACGGGACTATGTTTTAAGTCTACATCCACATGACGACATACACAACAGGTTCAACCTCTTGCAGGTACACCTTCCTGTACATTGCCCGTTTACATGCACAGATATGTTGAAGAAGGTCCACGGAAACGATTTAATTTGCAACTTTATCACAGAGGCACAGAAGGAATATTTGATGAAGATCTATTACGACAGAAACGCACTGCTTTAAATACAAAACATTAAGTGCCTGCTTTTATGGACAACGCAAAGGAATTCCTAGACAATATTCGTGTCTATTGTTCCTAATAGTCATAGTGTATTCCCAGTTGACATGTTAGTCAATGTTAGTCAATGTTGACATGTTTGTTTCAAGTCCACATCCACATGCTCATGTACACAACAGGTTCAACCTCTCGGAGCAACACCTTACTGTATATTGATTTTTACATGTACAGATATGAAGCTGAAGAAGGTCCACGGAAACGATTTAGCCTTAACTTATTTGCAACTTTATTAATTTTACAAATTTCTGAAAATAGGAAATTTGGATAGCAGTATATAACTCCCTATATGGTTAATTAGCCCCAGTGGTGAGCTCGGAGATTCAGAACCAGTGGGGGTCTAGACAGGCTTCACTTTGGACTTTTGCTTTACAGAAAGGGTTGGGCCGAAAGTTTGGAGTATGAGACTACTGGCATGTGTAAGGTCCCAGCGACCGGTGTCAGGCCGGGAAAGACACATTTCAATTACATGGCTGTAGCCGGTAAAGCCACATTCCTAATAGATTAAATAATTAATGGATTACCGTAACCGGTAAAAGACTTCCTACGGTAAACGCCAAAAGAAACGTTACCCTCCTACCATCTATGAATTAAGTCAATAAAAATATGTGTTAGAAGGTATTAGCTTAAAATGAACAACTTAACAACCCAGCTTTATGCAAATCACGAATCAAATTCTGAAGCGCATTCATATTTAGGTGAACTGCATCATTTTCAGAAGATTAAATTGTCCTATTTTCGACCATGCCGAAATAAACAAATAACAGTGATTCAAAATAGATGTCCAAAAGAAAGGTTGAAATACAATTCTGCTTAAGCCAGAGACAAACCATTTTAAATCACCATTTTTCAATTTTTAAAACAAGTAACACCTGTTGTAGAGTGTGTAAAAATTGTGAAAAGATCATTCCTATGAATTCAGTCTTTTAAAACATTTTCTGCTTATTCGCAAAAGTGAAAACAAATAAAACGTGTCTTTGATATTGTGCAAAAGTGTTTAGGAAGACCGACAATGATCTTTGTTTACAGTTTTGTTTGCAAAGTAACATTTACACACACAGCAATATCAATCGCCAAAACGTAGCAATATTCAAGCAGTATGTGCATCAATTTCACGTGTAGAATGATTCTATAGGGTATAAAGAGAGCCAAGAATGCATGATATGATACACAAGCACGAGAAATGTGCCACGAGTAACAGCGGAAGAGAGGGAAAGAGCCATTTCGATGTTGCAGATGGGGTCGACATACAATGCTGTTGTAAACGCCCTCGGATGCCACCATATCACGGTTATAAGACTTATTCAGCGCTACAGACAGACTGGGGTCACCGTAGATAGACCAAGAAGTGGACGTCCACGCATCACAATGCAGCAGAAAGTTTTCATGAGAAAGGTACACATGGCAACAAACTAAACCATGATCATTATTATTATGTTTTTACAAATTAAGATTTTTTATTATAATGTGATAATATTATATGTAATGATAGTATATTATATTGTGCTAATTATCGAAATAAAATCTGGTGTGATCTGAATAAAATTATGAGGAAACATGTCTTGCTTTGTTAAATACGGTAACCTGTTTGAATCACTAAGCATGTTTTGACAGCATAGCCTGGAGAGCCGCTTTCCATGTTCACCCAACCATAACTATTGCCGGGAGAGCCACATCAATTTTCGGAAGATAAATATATAGATCTGGGCAAGCAGAAGATGTCCTTCATTTGAAACACGCTCTGCTGATAACAGCTGGTGGTTTCATATCTGTTGGAACAATGCAGTTGACTAAAGCCGACTTGGTAATGGCCATCTGGGTGAAGTCTTTCAATATTTTAGAGCTGACGTTGTACTGTCGACCTTCATCAGCTGATGAAGATAGTGATTCACGTGAGCCAATTCCATGAACCGATAACTATTGTCAATTCATTCACTCTGCTTGAAGGACAACGCAGTCATGCGACATACTGAAATCGGGAAATGAACGACAGTTGGTGTTTTAGTATCCATCTAGACGAGGTCACTCAAAGTATAATTCTAAAGCGTCTGTCAACTTAAATACCAACTTCTGTGCGTGTATTGAATAGCTGATAGTAATTAAATGTAACTTGACAATTGGCTCTCTAAGGTACAACTTTTGCAGAGACCAGAAAAGATATTGGCGACATACATTCAATAATAGCATTTGGAATGATCTACAACAGATATCATGAGACTTACTATGTATTTATTCATTAACCATTCTCACAGGTTCACAAATATGTTGGGCCAATATTAATGTTCAGCAACCCATGTTGTAAGAGCGAACTAATATGATCGGGTGGTCGATCTCACTTACTTGTTTGATGCATGCCATCGTATCCCACTTGTGAAGATCGATGCTCATAGTGTCATGACCATGCTATGTGTAACTCCTTTGCGTATATCATTATATATTACTAAAACCGAGGTATGCATATTTTTATGAAAGTTACAATAGAAGCAAGATGTTTAAATGAATATTGTCTACGAATTCCTTTGAGTTGTCCATAAAAGCAGGCACTTAATGTTTTGGATTTAAAGCAGTACGTTTCTGTCGTAAAAGATCTTCATCAAATATTCCTCTGTTACTCTGTGATAAAGTTGCAAATAAGTTAAGACTAAATTGTTTCCGTGGACCTTCTTCAACATATCTGTGCATGTAAACGTCAATGTACAGGAAGGTGTACCTGCAAAAAGTTGAACCAACCTGTTGTGTATTTCGTCATGTGGATGTAGACTTGAAACATGTTCCCGTGATCTTGACAATGTTGACATTAACTAACATGTCAAGTGGGAATACACTATGACTGTTATGAACAATAAGTACGAATTGATATGAAGGAAATGTTGCTTGTGTTATGATGACATGACAGACTCATTATTCTTTGATGAATAAGGAAAGACATCTTGAATAATTGAATTATACATTTGAGAGCTTTCTGTTATGTTGTGTGATTTTAATGGTAGTCCAACAGTATCTTTGACATATTTAGTATCGTTGACTATGTAAAGCATGGAGCTGTTACTGTTGAACAGACATTGTGTCATAATTTGCTGATCTAAATACAAACTGCCAACCTTTGTTTCCTTGTAATGATTTTTCATGAATACAATGCCAACCAACGGTATATATGATCTTCAAATGTTATAGCTGAATCAGAAAAACATAATTTTGGAAAAATTACCTTTAATTTGTAAAGTTCAACTCATATTTTCTCATCAAATGCCCTTTCTATTAAAATTGACCTTTAACCTTACCAAAATATTTTTGCAATGAGCATATATGAAATATTATTGTCCACAACTTTAAATCATGGTCTGAGCATTCCAAAAATATTTTTTTTATGAAAATCGGTCAAACCAAACCAGAGTTATTAAAATAAACCATCCAGTATTCGGTTAAAATATTGCCATAGCTGACATGACATGTTGCACCTTAAAAGGGCCCTGCACGGTAGTCACGCACGGTAGCTGATGACAACCGGCTTCAAATCAAACCTAAATCATTCCTGATTGTGAAAAATCACATCCCGTTTGGTCGCCAGAACTGCACCACATTTTCACCATTTTGGGGGTCTGGCTTCTAGACCAATTTTGGTGATGTCATTGTCAACAATTTGATAGAGGCATTCCAATTAATATAATCACTTTGATCTGGCCTGTGCAGCATGTGTTGTTTTTAGGAAAACACCACTGACTGCATACATACGGAAGTACTCTACTGAGCTCAGTTCAAAATGAGCGACAACGTTTAATATGTGATTGGATTTACATTAGGTAGAACTTTCACTTGGCAATCTATTTTTGAGAATTAGGCAAGTCGCAAACATATCGTGACGCAAAAACGTCTGTTGGTCGGTACTCGCAAAAATATTGTTATGCCAAAAATTCGTAATTTACAGTATCAAGTTACAATTAATGATCTGGAATCAGAATCAAGAATTTTGGGCCGTGTCATTCCATGTTAGCATGTGGATAATGGACTCAAAGAACAAAATGAAAAGAGGTACCAAGAACGAATGACGAGGAACTGATTATCAAGAGCATTAGAAGACATTAATAAAAATCTGGCTTCACTTATAGCTGTAATCATAAACTAAAAAACTTATGTGGGCAGTAAGGGGGCAGAATTATATAATACTGTGCAAACAAAACACTTACTGATTAAAAAAATTAATTATGATCAAGACTATCGAGGCTACTTCCTGTTGAGGCATGCGAATAGGTTGTTTACATTGCATTTTTACGAAATAGGAAACTGCATCAGTTATTTTTGCCTTGATTTAACAAACATAACAATAACAAACATACTTTCTAAAATTTAATTTTATGTTTCCATTTTTACGATTATCGATTGGCTCAGGAGACTAATTGGAAACTGCATCACTTTTTATGTCTTGATTTAACAAAATTAACAAAATTAATTTCATGTTTCCTTTTAAACAAATATCAATTAGTTTCCTGAGCCAATCGATAATCGCTGAAGCAAGCAAGATAGATCAATGGACCGATTATTCGATCATTTACTCCAGTACTACTTTTCACAATAATGTAATCCGACATTTCGTCAAATACCTGGTGGCTCTTGGCGTGTGAGCTGGCAGACAGACCAGCAGAGATAAGCACAGCATTGTTCTTTTCCTCGTTCAGCTCTCCCCACGTTTCGAACGCCACCTTGAGGTGAGGCAGGATTCCACCATTGTACTTCAGCATGAATGGAGTCTCGTGATTGTAGACCTTGAATCCCGTTGTGATCTTGTCGTACTCAGGCTCTGGACCAGCATTTTGTCTGAAACATTTTGGAAAGGATGCGATATTACATGATTTCCTAAACTGTTATTTCGCAAGACTTTTGGTAGAATTAATCTTCTGGTGCTCACTTACTCGTACATATTCACCAAAATAAAAGTTTGTGCACACAACATTTCATATCAATATTTCAGTGATAGAATTTGTAGGGGTCGGTGATTGACAGTGGCACCTCTAAGGCTATTCAGACAACTGTCAAAACGTACAAATTGTGAATAAGTGAGTGAGTATAGTTTTATGACGCACTCAGCATTATTCCAGCTATATGGCGATGGTCGGCAAATAATAGAGTTTTGACCAGACAATCCAGTTATCAACGGCATGAGCATCGATCTGCACAGTTGGGATACGATCCCATTACCCACCTCTTACGACAAGCATGGGTTACTGAGGACCAACTCTAACCCGGCTCGTCACGGTTTAAACTTAATCTAAAGTAAGCTGAGCGAAAACTACTATTTTCAATGCTGATTCGCTGATACTAAGGCCTGAACACTCCAACTCCAGCACCATTCCACAAAGATATCTCAGCACTAAGATGATCCTATCTTCCATACTTTAAAGGGCATGTGTACACGAAAACTAACCTTTTCTTCTTGCACTTTTTCATAATAAAAAGTGTATAAATAGTTTTATATCCAAACCCGTACATATATCAGAAGTAACTAATTTTTTTTATTACGTTATATCACTTCATATTTTCAATATTTACCAAGAGTTCTATGTCCACAATAAACACACCATGGCTTATGTCCCTTGGAAATGACGTCATTGGTGCCCAAACAATCAACGAATGACGTCGTTAGACCTTATTAGACCCATTTCACGTGGTGCAGGTATAGGTGTGGTTCTTGTGTCTTGATGCGCAGGCTACTGTTTTAATCCACCAGTTGCCTGCCTATGTGCTCAGATCTACACTGTAAAGACGTTGCAGTTTGAACAAACGTACTGGTACATTGTACTAAAAGTGCTACCACGTAACCAGATTGTATAACATGCAACCTGAGTCGGTCGCCTTTCCAACAGTATCTGTTTTCACAAAACTAAAACGTATATGCACCACATCTAGCTTGCCATCGATGAATGTGCCGGCATTCTACGTTTGTTACTAAAATTCCGACATAAATCGTACGATATGTCCCTCCTCTTCCACCTTCACATTGATATCGACACCATATCCACATACATCACGAGGATAAATGCAATTTGCAGTTTGGAACTCTGTTTAAAAGTTTGTACGTAGATCAAATAAACTGAAAATTACATGCATCGTAAATCTCGCCATTTTTTGACACATTACTAAATCACCATTCACTGCGTTTTGCGTAATTTATAGTATGTCCTAATTCAAATGTCCAATTTTACTTGGAGAATTGAATTTAAAAGAAAGACGTGTCATTGTGATAAGCGGTAGTTTTGTTGTTGTATGATCAAATCACTAATGCTCTTTCTGAAACATTGTCGATGAACTGAGAATCGCTGAGAATGTTATGGAAAATACGCAAACACAATAAATGTCAAAGTGGATTTTCAGCCATATTACAGAGCGTTTATAACATCACCTCACATGTATGTCGGTTATGTTTCGCCCATAAAATCAATTGTATAATTCAAAACCATCTTCTTTACACGAATCCCTGAATTCCTCATACAGTTCAAATTATACTGACAAATGGACTTTGTCACCAAAGTGTTACAGCCTTTCCAACAGTATCTTTTTTCACAAAAACTAAAACGTATATACACATCATCTAGCTTGCCATCGGTGAATGTGTCGGCATTCTACGTTTGCTACTTAGTTCCTATATAAATCGTAACCTCTTCCACTCTTCCCACCTATCGATACCATATCCAAATACATCACGAAGAAAATTTAATTCTGGTTGAAATTCACTTTTCTATGACATAACCCGCTCATTCTAAGACAAATATATGCTCATGCTGTTGATCACTGGATTGTCTCGTCCAGACTCGATTATTTACAGACCTTCGCCATATAGCTGGAATATTGCTGAGTGCGGCGTAAAACTCAACTCACTCACTCACTCACTAAGACAAATATACTGAAAATTACATGCATCGTAAATCTGGCCAGTTTTGACACATTACGAAATACACACACTTAATGTGAATTTTAAGTGAATTTTCAGCCATATTTCAGTCACACGTACTCTTACACGAATCCCTGAATTCCTCATACAGTTCAAAATAAAATGACAAATGGTCTTTGTCACCAATACCAAGAGTTTCAGTGAAATTTAATAAAATATACCAGATGCCACGCTGGGAAAGGACCACTTGCTTGAAATGTAAACGAAGTCGAATTCAAATTTCACTCTGTGTATCTGTTCGCCTACTTTTGTTGCATACACTTGCTGATTAGTTTAAGACCATGCATGGGAAAGGTACTGTAGCAAGCGATAGTTACATAAAATAGGTGTATTCCAATTATTTCCGAGATTCATCACAACATATTATAGTTTCTGAAAGCGTGACGCCATGACTGATGAAATATTCACTCACACCGACGATGGAAGTTCTCCTCATTTCTGACTTTTTCCCTTGGTCACAATGAAAACAAAAAGAAAATAAGAACCAGCAGATTGTCAGAATGTTTTCGACCACTAACATGTCACATTTATGTATATACGTTGCTTAAAACAACGAAACTTCCCGTCGAAATATCCGGCGTACCCATGCAGTGAACACGCCATTTTGAGAATTTCGCTTCCCGGTAGTGATGCCATACGTACGTCAACATTGTTACACATATTTGGTATTTTCATTGACGTGAGGTTATGAATGAAAATACACAAGATCAGTCTGTCCTGCTGCTTACATTTTCAGTTCATATGCTTCTTTCGTATTTTCACAAACGTTTCTCACGTGATTTTTTTCTGACAGAATTATTATCTTTCGATTTGGGACTAGACAGGAGACCAGTCTAAAATCAAGTGGCATCATTCACGTCATAATCAAAGGGCGGTCACTCTGGCCTGCTTAGCTCGGCAAACAAGGACCGCATGATGGCATAACATTTCAGCACTTATTTTGAGGGTTATATTTACATCGTAAGAAACATGAGTGTATATTTTCAAACATTGGTATTAACAAATTAAAACAGTTCACTTGTATTCACATAAGAATAATGTGATTTATTCGTGTACACTTCCCCTTTAACATTGACTAATAATGGCTGTAGCGCTAGGATCACCTTGTTGGAGAAGACTCTGGACTAAAGAACATATTTTTCAGGTCACAGACCCACCTACTTCCGACTAGTGCTTAGTCACAGATTCTGTGAAACCCAACACCTGGTCAGGGATAAAATTCCTCAAGGGTTCCCAACATACTTCAATCCGTTCTGTCACCATGACTCTTGGAAAAGTTTTCACTAGCACTTTTTTCTGTTTACAAAGTAATGAAGTTATTATTTATGATAATAATTAAAAGGGAATTAAAATTTACAGTAAATAGGTATTGATAATCAAAGGGGAAGAACCTGTTATATTTTTTATGATTTCTGATGATATGTATTTCAAAATGAAACTTGTACGTCAAGCATGTGGCCTCAAGTTGTTTTACTATGCCCTTGGAAAACCAATGGTTTATAGAATGGTCATCTAAATGGGTAAACTGACCAGTATAAACTAATGGTTGAGGGCATTAGCAATGATTCTTGACATATGGGTAAACTGACCATTATAAAAATCAAAGGTATGACACTGTCTACAAGTGAGTGAGTGAGTTTAGTTTTACGCCGCTTTTAGCAATATTCCAGCAATATCACGGCGGGGGGACACAGGAAATGGACTGCACGTATTGTACCCATGTGGGGAATCGAAACCGGGTCTTCGGTGTGATGAGCGATTGCTTTAACCATTAGGCTACCCCACCACCCCACTGTCTAAAGGAAGGGTTGATTGTCTCTGTATCCCATGCTTAGATAGGTGTTTATTTAATCATGTTCCATTTGATGAAATGAGACCTGAAAATCCCACAGATATTACAAGCAAGCTGAAAAATATGTCCGTCATCACAGAGTAACCTCCACTCATGACTGTTGTATGAAACTGGGTCACTAGTGACAGGCCGTTTGGGAGATAAACATAGTGACCTTGACCTTAGCATGACTAAGCACACTATGAATGGAAAAGAAAGGATGTTCAAAAACACCTGTCATAGCTCTCTACAACAGATGTAACCGTCGGTGTATACCATCATATGAGTCATTGTGGATTTTTCTGAAATATGAAATACAGTCTAAAACATTTGCATAATGAATGCACGTTAAATATATTTTTTGACTTCATTTGTTTAATGTTATTAGTCATTCTGAATAACATCAGAATATGTATACTTCCAACACATGAGTATGAGGGTCATTTTGTCTACAATGTCAAAAGAGCATAGGGCAACAAAACATGTTCAGTATCAATAATGAAATTTCTTTGAATTAATGACAGGTTGCATGATAACAATTCCTTGTGCGAAAATAATTATATTTTAAAACTTCCTAAGAAGCAACATACTTTGTATTGAAGGTTAACATTTCCCCCTATGAAAATATCCAATAATACTGATAATGATTTATAGAGCGCCTATTTCCAAAAGATATTGCTCAATGGCGCTATGAAGAGAAAAGATTGTAGACAATGTCTATGGAAAAGAGAGTTTGAACAGATGAGTTTTGAGGGCAGTTTTGAAAGCATCAGCAGATTCTATTTCTTTTAGGGTGAGTGGTAGAATGTTCCAGAGATAGGGGCTGCAGCAGAGAACGCTCTTGATCCCATGGCTGTTTTGACGTGAGGCTGTGTAAGCAGTAGGGAGTTTGATGAGCGGAGCAATCGGCTTGGAACATGGAGATGAATGAGGCTTTTAAGATATTGAGAAAACATGTTTTCATAGATGCAGCTGTGTGTAAGAAGAAGAAGTTTGTATTGAATTCTGCTTGATACAGGAAGCCAGTGAAGAGTTTGGAGGATAGGTGTCACAGTTTGGTAGCGTGGTGCACGGGCAACAACACGGGCGGCTGAATTCTGAATCCGTTGGAGTTGTGAAAGGAGCTGTTGAGGAATGTTGTAATAGAGGGAGTTGCAGTAATCAAGTTTAGAGAGAACAAGGCTGGTCGTTAGAAGCTGGGCGGTGTTGAAGTCTAAGAGGGTTCGGATCTTGCTAATATTGAAGATATGGTAGAAACATCCTTTGCTGAGTGATTTGATTTGATTTTCTAATGACATTGTTGATTGAAAGATGACACCAAGATTTTTTGCAGAGTCGGACTGCGTGATAACATCTTGTCCAATTTCAAGAGATAAACTGTCAGGCACTTTGGAAAGTTGATGCCTGGATCCGATGGTTAAGAACTCAGTCTTTGTGTCATTCAATTTCAGAAAGTTCAAGGTCATCCAGTCTCTTATTTCAGCAATACATTGTTGTATCATCAGTGCACAACCTTGAGCAAGGTTAGGCTCCGCTGACAGATATAACTGATTGTCATCAGCATAAAGATGAAATTTCAGTGAGTGCTTTCGGACAATGTGGCTCAAACATGTGTTTATGACAGAGAATGTATAGCTACTGTAATATCTCAGTAGAAATATTAATTGAGGTAAGGTGAAATAGAGAAAATTAAAGAAGAGTAAAAGAAGATTGAACGTGTGTGTGTTATGTAATGTTTGTGTTTGTTTGATGATGTTTAACACTGCACTCAGCAATATTCCAGTGGTCTATAGATAATCGAGTCTGGGAAACACAATCCAGTGATCAACATTATGAACATCAATCAACGCAATTGGGATAGAATGACATGTCAACCAAGTCAGCAAGCCTGACCAACCGATCCTGTTCGTAGCCTCTTACGAAAAGCATGTGGTACTTAAGACCAATTCGATCACGAATCTTCACAGGTTAAAGGGGCACAGACAAATGTAAAGTTACAGCTGGTTTTGCTACTGATTAGCTGAGACTAGATGGGACTAGTTGAAGCTGGTCATCCCAATCCTCGCTTTCCGAAAGGCTTGTATTTCAGTAAAACTACAGAAACACCTTGACCCACTCCTAGTGGTTCAGTGATCTAAATTTTTATTAACTGAGGTCCCCATCACCACAGGTCAAAGAAAACTTGGTGGTAATGGTGTATGGTCATGTGCATAGAGCAGCTTGACTCTGTGTTCGGCAGCTTGACTCCTGAGGGTTTCTAGGACTTCCGTCCTGCCCAAAAACGAAGCACATGTGATACATGTGGTGTCACCTTAGGCAAGTGGGTTTGTTCAAAATTGCCTCTGTTCACCCAGCAGAAAATGGGTACCCGGTGAGATAAGTGATGTGACTATTATTATTATCATCCAGCTGTGGTTAACCAGGGAATAATGTCTTAGCACCTAGAGCATGCACAAGTGTGTGGATAATGGCACTTTATGAATGTCCACTATTATTAACCATAAATTTCAGACATACTTTGATATTGATGTTGAAAACAACAAACCTAGCTAATGATTCAGGTAATGCTGTTAAACTTTCAGAGATATTTCCTGACACTAACATGAATGTAATTCAGCTTAAAGAGGGCTGGTCTGCACCATAATATAATCACCCACCCACCCAACACTGACTTCCCTTTAATCAAATACTTGCTCCGTCCCTGTATATACTATAAATATTAATTATTTAGCAATGACACTTAAATTAAGTAGTACTTACACTCGAGTGAGACAGGGGAAGTCTGTTTCAAGGCCTTTGAAGGGAAGAGAACTGTTGGGTTCTTCTTCGCCGAGCTCTGGGTAGTCTGAAACTTCAATCTGGGGGAGAACACGCTGAGATTTCTTCCCATCCTGGTGTAAAGGTCGAAACCGAGAGAATTGTTTGGGTTTGGGCGATTGTTCGCTTTTGATAGGAAACTTGCTCGGGGCGACAGCGCTGTTCTGAAATGATCGTCTCTTTACCATTAAACATCCACGATACTGAATATCTTGTGTCCTGTTCACAAAACGAAACAATGAAACTGAACCCTTACTGAAATACGAATTCATGTTTGCATCCTATTCCCATCAGTCAATGAATGAGTCTGAGTGTGAATTCCAAAGTGGCAATCTCAGTCACGGTGACAAAATTAATAAACCCCATTGATACAGTTTGTGCTGGCAATCTCCAACATCTTCACTTGAGCTTTGACTTGAAGCGGATGCGTTATTATACACGATCAAAGAGCGACATAACCCACATCAGCTCAGATATCGGTGGTGTCGCAGTCATAAACCACAGCGCTGTCAGTGTCGGGCCGTCAGGGCACACGTGCCCACTACATGCCAGCGATAGTTTTTCAAATGTCCGTTATGGTTGGTTGCGTTGGCTGGATTAACGGCTGGTAACAGATGCTATATCAGGGAGTCTATATAAGGAGCGTGACGAGGCACATGTACGAACGAACGAAATTTATAGTTTTACGTCGGTTTTTAGCATGGCCAATGTCGCCGACGGGGTAGGTGGGGTTGATATATAATTAATTAATAATGTAATAATAGGGATAAACCACCATACCCAAAAAAATGTAAATTATGGGAGATTAAGCTTAGGTAGTTTTAGGATAAAAGTAGTTAAAAATATAATATAAATAAAATAAAAAGCCGAAATTATAAAGAGAGACAGAAAAATAAAGCAGTTGTTAATAATAAGAGGAGTTGGAATAAGTATAGGATAGTTAAAATGGGTGAGGGGTGAGGGGAGAGGGTTGGGGTGGGGGTGGGGGTGGGGGTGGGGTGAGTATAGAATAAGTGTATAGCATATTGGGGATATGTTATGGTGGTACAGTTAAGCTGTGCTTATTTAATAATAGGGGACCTAGTAAAGAAAGAAAAAGGGTTTGTAACGGGTGGGGGTGGGGTGGGGGTGAGGAGACGATAAGGCAAAGGCCGTGTGAGTGGTAATGGGACTTCCTCCAACACCTCCACCCCATCCTACCACCCCACCCCCCACCCGCCCCACCAAATCCCATAAATCCCGCCAACCTCCATCCCTACCTCACTCCCAACCACCCTCCCTCCCCACCAACCAAACCTCCCCAAACACCCTAACCCACCTCGCCCCAAACCAACCAAACCCAAGCCCCAACCCAACGCCAAATACCCACCCCCAAACTCCCAACCCATTAAAACCATTACTTCCGCTTCCCAACCCCACCCCACCCAACCCACCCAAACAACCCTGTTCCAAAACTGCTCCCCACCCACAAAACCCCAACCAGCCACTCCCTCCTACATCCTCCATCCCCCTAACCCTCCTTCACCGCATCCCCAAAACCCCGGTCACTCCAATCCAAAAAGCCACTACATCTGCCCCCCAAACAAACCTCACACTCACCCCACAAAAAATAAACCACAACCTAAACCTCATCATAGAATTTATCACCGCAGCAATACTTATGCAAAACCCAACAGCTAAAAAATTACACAACATGGCACGCAAAAACAAAATATACCACAAAAGCCTAGCCAGTCTCATCATCGCAGTAAAATCCCTATCATAAACAACCCACTACTAAAGCTACCCTAGCACCTAAACCCTCCATTCAAAATTTCTGCCCCATCCATGGCTTATTATAATATTCTATTCCAAATTACTGCAGTCATGGCTCTGATGCAATGGAACTGTAACGGCCTCCGAGCAAACGGGCATGAGCTTAAGGCACTCATCGCCCAAAACAAAATCTCGCCCCAAATAATTTTCTTACAAGAGACAAAACTATCACCCAAATTCGCCTTCAAAATCCCAGGCTACAATTATATCAGGAAAGATAGACCTCGGCCAATAAATCTCCCAGGTCCCCCAGCAGGGGGACTGGGCATATTTATTTCAAACAAACTTAACTATTCAGAAATTGACATTCCAACCACTAATCTAGAAGTCCTGGCTATAAAAACAACAATAAATAATAAATTATTAACATTCATAAACATTTACAGAAGACCCTCTATTAAACTTATACCCCAAGATTTAGACATTATAGCAAAATTCTTAACGCCCAACACATTTATCCTCGGGGACCTAAACTCTCACCATCCATTATGGGGCACAAAACCCTATACTGACAATAATGGCTTTCTTCTATCCAACTGGCTAGACGACCACAACCTCATTACACTTAACGATAACCAACCCACCAGATACCCTCTCTCCCACGTACAATCTCCGGCTGCAATAGACCTTACAATCACCACCCCTACATATACAAAATCTTGCCTATGGGAGGTACATTCAGACACCTGGGGCAGTGACCACTGCCCCATAAAAATTACCATATCTACACTACTTACACCAGAATCACAAACAAACCCCCATACTACCCCCACCCCTAGCGCAGAAATCAAATACAATGTACACAAAGCAGACTGGAATAAATTCACCAAACTCTGCAATCAAATCGACCCATCCAACATTATAAACTCTGACACAGAAACCTTTAACTCACAGCTCGCCAACACCATCATCGATATAACAAATACATGCATACCCACATTTCGGACCACTCAAGCACAAAAAACAGTCCCATGGTGGAGCCAAGACATAATCAATGCCAGAAAGGCACGAAAAAAGGCCCTCAATAAATCAAAGAGGGACCGTTCAAAATTACATTTGGCTAAAAAACTCAGAAATAACACAAAACAACTAATCAAGGCAGCAAAAAAGGAACACTGGAGAAAATTTTGCTCGACCCTGAGGCTAAATCAACATAACTCTAGAAAAATGTGGAAAAAATTTATAACTATTCAGGGAAATTCCAAAGCTATAATTCAACCTAACCTTCCGAACCTCCCCACAAATAAAGATAAAGCTAATGCTGTTGCTGCCCATTTCTCGAACATTAGTAGCTCCACCAACTACACAGCAAACTTCCAAAATACCATTAAAAATCACCCACCCTACTCACCCGAACCACCCCACTCACACCTACCTATAAACAAAAACATTAACATACACGAACTTAAGGCAGCCCTAAAACATAAAAAAACAGCCTCAGCCCCTGGTCCAGATAACATTACATACACCATACTTAACAAACTTCCACCAAACATGCTAAACTTAACACTCACACTATTTAACCATATCTGGACCACAGGAAACATACCATCTTCATGGAAAACAGCCAAGGTGGTGCCAATCCTAAAGCCAGGGAAACCCATTAACTCCCCAGATTCATTTCGACCTATTTCCCTTACTTCACATTTATGTAAAACACTAGAGTCTATAGTAAATAATAGACTAAAACACCAAATCCAAACTCAAAACTTAATTAAGCAGGACCAGAGTGGCTTCACTCCAAATAGGCAAACTTTAGACCACATTTTACATTTGGAACATGATATAAAGGTAGCCCAAGCACAAAAACAATACACGCTGGCCATTTTTATTGACTTTAGCAAAGCTTTCGACATGATCTGGCACAACGGCCTAATCCAAAAATTACAAGAAAAAGCCATACACGGGCGGATTCTAAATTTCATTCAAGCTTTCCTTAATAACAGACAAATAATAGTCAAATCTCACAACACTGTCTCGGACCCTTTTCCACTAGAAAATGGAACCCCCCAGGGGAGTATAATTTCCCCAACACTATTCAACTTTATGATTAATGACATTTTTTCCGGACAAGTGGCCAGAAATTTCTACTGCAAAATTTGCTGATGACATTTCATTTTGGACATCATCCACCTCAGGAAACCAAGCCACAATCAAAACTCAAAGAATGCTAAACCACATCCAAAACTGGGCCAGTAAATTTGGGGGGTCCACATTAACGTTAAAAAAACCGTGGGCATCCTATTCAAAAAACAAAGAATGCAAAATTATACACCCAAACTCCATCTTAATAACCAAGAAATCAAGTTCGAAAAAGAGGCAAAATTCTTAGGTGTAACTTTCGACCAACACATGACATGGACACCCCACATTAATAATCTGGTCAACTCATGCCAAAAAGATCTAAATCTCATGCGAGCCATCAGTGGTACAAACTGGGGAGCCGACAAACAAACACTTATTAATATATACAAAACTCTTATTCAGTCTAGACTGGACTATGCTGCTCCGGTCCTCCACTCCATCTCCCCAAACAACCTCCAAAAACTAAATTCTATACAGTATAAAGCCCTTAAACAAGCCCTAGGCACTAGGACTGGCACCTCCCACAACACCCTTCTCCTACTCACAGGCATCCCTTCAATCAAAACACGAATAAACCAAACCGCACTCAATTACTGGGCTGGGGCCCAACACAACCCAATTTACAAACTCATCACAACTAAATACACAAACACTAAAAAATCCACTATCAAAAAATTTAAAAACAACCCAAACAAAGCCCCTCTACTCACTCACCTCAACAGTCTGCTTCACTCACAACACCTAAAGACCATCCAACACACACACCTCCCATAACAAGCTACATTCATGACAAACCCCCACCCCCTACAGATACCACCCTAGTAGAAACACTCCAAAATCTCCCTAAATCCACTGACACCCAAACCAAAACAAACCTCATCCAAACCCACATCAACCTAAATTACCCCAACCATACCCAAATATATACAGACGCTTCAGTCGGCACAAACAAACGCATAGGCATAGGCATCCATGTAAACCAAACACACACCCCTAACAACAAACCTCCACTATACAAACCACACAAACATCAACACAGAAGAACTTACAGCAATCTTAACAGCACTACACCTCATCCCCACTATGCCCCACACCAACATCTTAATACTTACAGATTCCCTCAGCGCCGTCAAACAACTTCAACACAAGCACTCGAAAGCACGAAACGACTTAATACACAACATAATTATACAGACCTACTCACTCCAACAATTAAATAAAAACATAACATTAATGTGGATTCCAGCTCACACACACAACCAAGGAAATAACACAGCAGACATAGCAGCCAAACTAGCCACCACACACAACTCTCCACCCATACAATTCCACACATCCAAAACTGAAATAAAACAACTCATTAAACACCACATAATTAACCAAAACTACCAACACAACCTCAACACAAACAAATCCACCTGGGTCAAAGCAATCATAACTAAACCTATCACCAAAACACTCACCTACTCAAACAACAAACACATGGACACACTCATCACAAGATTAATCACTGGCATCACAAACCTAAACCACTCATTATTCAAACAAAACAGACACCCAGATGGATTATGTACACAATGCAATCAACCAGAAACAATTGAACACATATTTACACACTGCCACCTCCAACAAACA